GCGTCTGTTATTAGCGAGTGATGCTGATTTCTCACTTGCAGGAAGAGAGGAGATGGAACAGTCAGAAAGTGATAGATTGAGGGTGTGATGAAGCATGGTCTTTGTTAAACGCATTGTGTGTGGGTTGACAACACAACTTTCAAAGACTCCGGTTCCCAGGGGTGTCGCACAAACATCAAACGCTAAAAGCACAACTGAACTTTCTATGTTTAGGTCTGGAACTTGGGGCTTGTTTTTCTGCAAACTGAGTGCAAACATGGATTTGACGTGTTGGATGTCAGCACAGATTGAGTTTACGTCACCAAAAAGTTTCACTGGGACTGCAGCCTCGGTTGTGCGGTGACCGTTATCGGCTGCACGGCCTTACGGCTGTAGCATCTCTAACTGGCGTCAGTCTTTTTCCACCATAGTCACGAGGCCTCCTGTCTCTGATCTTATCATTAGACTGATTTCCTGTTACATGTTTTAAGTCTGATTAGCAGTCAGTTTGATGAACTGCCATGATCTCAGGGAGGTTAATGTTGAGGACTGGGGCTCTTAGAAGTGACAACACCCTTGCTCCCATGGGGTGAGCCTGGAGAGTGATCCCAGGCAGCATTGGTATTAATGTGTGTGTGCCTGTGTGTGTGGAGGCGAGGTGGGAGTGGGAACGGAAGGGAAATGGAGATGGTAATGAAGGAGCTAATTGCTTCCAGTGGATTTTGAAATCGAACCCGAGCCCCCAGTGCATGGGCCAGGCAACACACAAATGGAATATTGATGACTATGGCGAAAATAAAGGAAAATGACCCGCCTATATGATCGATATGAAAGCCACACATCTGTGCAGAACATGTCTCAACAGGCAGTACATTTCCCCTGGCTTTTATGGATCCGTATACACTTACCACGGGTTCAATATTGCTGAGGTGCAGAAATATTACATTATATCAATTTGCTCTCTCTATTATTCATAGCGACAATGTGATATTGATAGTCTTTACAGCTCCACGGCACTTTTATAATTAGCTTATTGTAATTAAAACACATATGGAGAGTCAAACATACCACAGACAGGTAAACTTGTATAGGTAAAATACAAAACTGGTAATAATGGACATTAAGCAGGAAAGAGGTAAACCGACTTTCCTCAACATATAGTATTAAAAGGATTTATTGATCTGCAACAAGACCAAATGGTTTTCAGCTATGAAGCTGCAATGCTCATTAGTCAATGTGACTAACACCAGTATGAGTCATCCTCTGGGAACACTGAATCTGTCTAGATAGTTTTCATAGCAAGTAGCTGTTGAGATATTTCATTGTAGACTATGTGTTGTCATCTGTAGAACTGTGGTTCTAGAAAAACTCTAGGATATTGCACAAACAAAATGTCTATCACTCTGGTCACTGCTCTTTAACTCTATTATTTCACACATCACCCAGCACTAACAGTAAATGGCCACTTATAGGGATGTTGGCTCTTTGCACCTTGAATAATAATGCGAACGGGAATCCCTTTGAATCGAATCCAGTGAGCTCGTCTCGCAATTTGAGCTGCGGTCCTCTGACCTAATTAGAATGTGTTGGTGAGATGAGGGGGAGTTGCCATGACAATAGCCTTTCTGCTATGGGACAGGTGAGAGCAGACAAGATCAGGTGTCTGAGGTGGATCTGAAGGATTGCTCCAAGCCTAAAAAGAGAACCGATACATCATCATATACTGTATATATATATATATATGTTTGTATAATTAAATTTGCTTAGGTGTTCTTAATAATTAGCAAGTACATTTTTTTTACAAGGTGAATCTTTGCTTGGAAAATCTTTTATAAATGACTTTTATAGGCAAAGAAAATCAGTTTTGCAAAAACATGAATCTTTTTACCCACATTACACATTGCTTGTGTAATTTGCCATCAGGCATTTGCAAGGGGCCTCTAGGCAAAATGTGACAGCCAGTGTTTGTAATGCATCTACAATTTCTACTGAACATGGTTCAGAGCCGACTGCTTCAAGAAGTGTCTTTGGCTCCAGGAGCTACACTCGTCCAGATGAACAATAAAACCAAACCCACGAAGGGTTATCCTTTGTGGGCCGACATGGGGCTGAAGCCAATCCCAGCTGACATGGGCGAGAGAGGTGGGGTTCACCCTTGACATGTCTTCAGTGTATCGCAAGGTCAACATACAGAGACAAAGAACCATTCATACTCACATTCACACCTACTGTCAATTTAGAGTCTCAGTTGACCTAACCCCAATATACATCTGGACGGGGAGGAAGATGGAACTCCACACAGAAAGACCCAGGTGTCCAACTGGGAATGATCTTGCTGTGAGGCAGCCGTGCTAACCACTGTACCACCATGTCGACCCAGTGTGGATACATGAATCAATATTTATTTAATCATCTCAGAGTTTTGTATGAAAAAAACAAAAAAACATTGACACAATTGATGGAGCTGCCATGGCGCTTATTGGTTTTCTCCAGTACTTGGAGAACTATCATTTTGTGCTTGATGTCTGAGACAATATTATATGGGTATACAATCTACAGGATTCTCTGTGCAGCGAATGTCTGTGTCATTTCTTAGATTAGATGCATGAAATCAGTGGAGATGGAAAGTGTTTTTTTGATTCTCCTAAGTATATTCTGCTGCCTCTCTCTGTGTTGTGCTGTCTCAGTGGTAATAATGGGTTTCTATTTATTCCCCTGGCACAGGGATGAGGGGCTTTCATGGGGCCTTTTGTTGCCTCCCATACTATTTCCTCTTGTCTTCGTGTTGCGCAAAGACATGAGTTTGATGCCGAGGGGAGAATTTCTCCATGACCGGAATCAGCACCCCATCATCCCACAGCCCCACTCAGCTTTCCCTTTGTCTCTCTCTCATTTCTTCCTCCTCCTGCAGCTCTCCGCCAGCTCCACAACACTGCTCCCTCATGTTTACATATAGCCTGATCCAAAACAACAGTCTGACGCTTTACAGCCTGCAGCCCTTGTACTCTCTCTCTCTCCCTCTCTTTCTCTTGCTTCCGTCTTCTCGACTGTTCTTTTCCTCCTTTCACTCGTGGCTCACATTGGCTACTCTGTGAGTCCACAAAAGAGTACAGAGGAAATGAAATGGCACACATGGCGAAAATGGTATTGTTGGCAGGTAATGACATAGTTACTGTTACAGCGGTTCGCTTGTTCGCTATGTCGACAGTGCTTTTTTATTTTTTATTTCTGAAGGTTGCAATTTCCAAAAGCCGCTGCCTTGAACAGTGTTTTCTCCGGCGATGAATCTTCGAGTCGCAACCTTGAGTCAGCGGTGCCGAGTCCAACTTGACACATAATTGACAGCGGGTCTGACCTCGTCTCTAATGGATTCACCCAGAGCCGAGCTAACCAGAGTGTCAAATCACCTTTTAAGAGGAGCAGGAAAAGTGTCATTTATTTCATCACTGATCATAAGGAAACACAACTCCTCTCATCCACTTCTTTCTTGTAGAGTCTTTGATTTCCCTCAGCCCATCAATTTTAATTTCCCTTTCATTCAACCCTGCATCACATGAATTATTTCAAATCAAAAAATAGGCTTTTTTGTCTGACAAGATATGTCTTCTTACCAGGTTGTTATGTTAGTGTGATGTATATGTTAGTGTGACATATGAGTATTTGGGCCAGTTCAAGGGGGAAATAAAGTGGTGATTTTGAGAATAAAGTTAAAATTTGTTTCAGAATAAAGACAAAATACTGCAAGAATAAAATCAGATTATTACAAGAAATGTTTTAACAAGACTAATGTAATATTAGGAAAGTGGTAATATTTCGTTCATAGTAATAATTTCAGGCTACATGTCATTTTAGAGTGGGCACATCAGTACAACTTGTTAGAATATGAAGCATCTTTTATATTTAGACTTTAGTAAAGGTTTCATTAAATAACCTAATACTTCATCTTTTGTCACATCAGCGCCACATAATCATAAGAGTCAGGACTTTGAAAAGATTATGTAAGAATCTGTCTCTATTCCGAAGAAAGAACAACACAGAGAGTTGGAGGAAGTGGCCTCTTTGTGGAGGAGGAAATGTTTTGTATTGGTTGACTGTGAGGTTATTGTTATCCAGAAGGAGTGGAACTCTATTATCTCATAATTTTTAATTAAATTGCGACTTTATTTCTATAATATAACAACAATAATTCTTGAAATCGTATAATTTTTTTTCTTAATATGGCCCTATTACTCCTTTGCACTTGTTTCACTGGTTTCTTTCACACGTTTACGTTTACTAATTTCAACAATATTAACAAATTAGGTTTTCTTTTAATCCCTGTAATTTGATTTATTTTAAATTACACTTTCCCCATTGTGTTGCATGTTGTTTGTTTCAGGGCTGAGTCTGTCCGAGTCTGAGTCTCCCCCCTCCTCTGCTCTCACTCCCTGTCTCGAGCTGTCTGGTCTCACCTTTCTCTGCTTTGTTGTAAAAAATGGTCTCAGGAAGTCACTTTGCAGCAGTGGAGTGATGTAAACCTGTAAAATCAGGCTAAGTTTGATTTATGCGCACCATTAGCAGGGAATAGTGTTCCATCATAAGTCGTCTGTGTGTCTGTCGAGAGGCTATATGGGAAACCTGAACCCACAGTCATACAGATAGGATTTTATGATCTGAACTGAATGATGGGATTATCATTGCCGTAATTATGGCAGGCGGTGGAGTGTGTGTGTGTGTGTGTGTGTGTGTGTGTGTGTGTGTGTGTGTGTGTGTGTTGGCTTGATGTAACCTTCTCTGCAACACACAGCAGTTCTCATATATACCGAAGCTGCCTCCTGATTTATGCAGACACCAACGTGGCTATACAGCTTGTTTGAACTATTTCAAAGTAAGAATAAGAATCATCATGATGAAGTTGGAAAATTGCAGCTATTTAGAGCAACACTGCAACGGCAACTCTCTAAATGTGCCGCATGTAAATGTTGAAAATAGCTTTATTTACACCATAAAGTGACGATTCGTCTTCTCTTTTGTCATTTCAGCGAGGGAGGAGAACGTGGCCACCTTCCGTGGCTCGGAGTACTTTTGCTACGACCTGTCGCAGAACCCCATCCAGAGCAGCAGCGACGAGATCACACTGTCCTTCAAAACCTGGCAACGCAACGGCCTCCTCCTACACACTGGGAAGTCCGCCGACTATGTCAACCTGGCGCTCAAAGACGGGGCTGTGTCGCTCGTCATCAATCTGGGCTCCGGGGCCTTCGAGGCCATTGTCGAGCCAGTCAATGGAAAATTCAATGACAACGCCTGGCACGACATCAAAGTGACACGCAACCTGAGACAGGTAATCGGGGGTAGCAGTGATGGACGGAGTTTGGAGACAGGTGGATTATTATTTTCTTTTTTTTTTGCTTTAGATTAGCTGCTTCCAAGAGCTTTGGAGAGAGAGCTGGCATCAACAATGTCATGTTCTGATTGGTTGTCATTCCATCACCACAGTTCAGAAACATTATTGAAATAGATGTCATGATTTTTCAGTTGTCTTTATTCTTACATGGAATTCTGTTTCATTTAATCTCATGGTTTAACTTTTGTTCTTCTAAATAAATATGAAAAACTGGGCATAGCAGTCCTTTAGCATGGCCTAGTAAAGGTACATTATGTTAGGTATATCCTTCTCTGATGTTTTTCCACATATTGAACTCGAGTTCTCTGTGTCCTCAAATTAAGGTTATTTGATGATGCTACTTTTATCACTCCTGCCTAAGGTAACACATCTATCAGGTGCTTCTTGGTTTTTTAAACAGTTTTATATGTTTGTGTAGAATACATTTAAAGCCAGGCAGAGAGCTTTTGCCTTTGAGCTGTGTATTAATGTGGTATTTATAGCTCAGACGATCGTGATGCTTTTTAAAGGCAGTTTGTTATTGGACAGATGCTTTTTTTTTTACTGTTTTCTAAATGTAACTTAAATTAGCTTGTGTTGCTGTTGGGTAGAGCTTCTATGTAATAGGGCTGTCACTTTTTCTAAAAATCAAGTTCAAAGGAATTTGACATGACACGCAGTTCGTTCAAGTATTTTCGATTACTCCGCCCTCATTAGTCAAACAAGCTCAACTGTGGTGCCTCCTTTGGTGTCTCACTAACATTGGAACCCAAAGATCTCACGGTACAAAGTTGATAAACCGCTGTCTACGGTGTAGAACCCAAATCTCTGCCCAACGTCACTTCTCAGATGCTCTGTTGTTGTGATTGTCTGCTCAGGACAGCTTTGCTTGCTAGTGTTCTCCATTTTCAAAGACAAACAACCTAACATTACTGGCGTCCTCGGTCAAGAGGACATGCGATAGGTCAAGCAGATAGTAGATTTAAATATGATGGAATTTCGTCATGTTTGAATGAAATAAAAAGTGACAGCCATTCTAGTGTGATCTAGGCTGTAAAGAGAGACTAATCCGCACAGTGCTTTGTTGAGGTAGGACTTGTTCTTTGTCTGGGTCGACCTTTAGTTTGTCTTCAAGGTGAGACAGCACTTTAGTGTTGCTTTCAGAGCTGCACAACAAGTAAGTGTCGATTTTCCTGACCTTCTCTGACAGTGAGCTTTTGTCCCACAGGTTAGTAAACAGCTGTAGCCGAAAATCCCAACAGGATGAACACAGTTTAGGGGGTTAGAATCTAAGAGCCGAGGGTTTGTCGGCTCTCTCCTTTCTTTCTTTCCTTCTCCAGATCTGTCTTTCTTTCACTATCATTTTCTTTCCTCTATATGAAGGACAAACTTCGATAGACTCGGGGTGAAAAAAACCCTACAAGTTTTGTTGGGATTTTTAAGCCATCCTATACAAATTTGTATCAGAGAGTGCCACGTCTTACCTTACTTTGTCTTCTTCTTTTTTGTTTTTCTGGCAGCAGACTGATGTAGAAAATTTGTCTAGGATGGCAAGAAGGCGCATTTTTTACTGCAGCAAATCTCTGACAAATCCTGTAGTGTTTTTCTTCACCCCAACACTAACTCATCCATGATAAAAGTCATTTTTTACTACTAACCTATATCTAACCAACTAATGTACTAACATCCTACTTCTTCATCATTGCTTTTGGTTTTTGTTTTCTGTCCATCCTTATTAACAACCTTTTTTGTTCACTATTCTTTTGATTTCCTTTCTTCCCCTTTTTCTGGAAAGCAATCAGGCATTGGACACGCTATGGTAAACAAACTACATTGTCTGGTAGATATCATTCTTATTGTCTTTTTTTTGGGTTTGCCGTGTGTCCCCTCCCCCTCTCTTCTTTTATTCGTTCTTTTTGAGTTCCATCCTAGACACTCTTATCAAAAAATGAGGAGATGGGTTTGTATTACCAGGCAATTGTTTCTTCGCTTCTTCTCAATTTCCTCCCTGACCTGCCAACAACCTCCTTCTTTACCCCACAATCCCCCATCCTGTTTTTTTTTCACTTTGGCTTTTACTTTTTTCTCTTTGTTTCTTCCACATTACTGCAGATTGCCAACAAGTAAAAAGAAAATTGACTTCTTTGCCTTTGTCAGGGCGACTTACTTTTTATTTCAATTTTTTGGCACAAAAAGTCCCCATTTTTTGTGAGGACTGTCATCCAGAACTGACAGAAGCTTACCACAATCCCAAAGATGGTGACCTCGACACCGAGCCGAAAAGAGGAACTACCAAAAAATGGCAACCCTTGACCACCATTGCGGGAGCTCTGACAGTTGTTTCCAACTCACTATGGCGCATGGCATGCCCACCACTCATTGAATTCTCACCTCCCAAACTCATACAACCTCCACCCTGTTAACTAAAATAACCACTAACACTCTAATTCACTCACCTTCCACCTGTCACTGTCTCACTCACCCTGCCCCCCTTGTGTGTGTTTTTGTAGCATGCTGGTGACAGTGGTGTGTGTGTGTGTATGTGTTGGCTCACCTTGATCAACCCTCACACCTGGGCCCATATGCAGAACATTTCTAAGAATAAGCAAACTGATCAAGGATTATCTGTTTCTCCAGTGACATTGAGAATGTAGCCATGACACCTGAGCTAAACCTGATCAGAGATCAGCATGAGCTATTCTGAGAGTGTGTTTGAATATGGGCTCGGGTCTTGATTGTGCATGAGCCTCTGAACCCTGTGTGGCCTGCTCCAGCTTTGTATGGCACCATTGATCCACTTATTCCCTTACATGTCCAGTTAAGTGTGTTTAATTTGCCTTCTAACAGTGGTGACCTTGGTTTGCACATTGATGTGGTGTGAAAAGCCTCCCTTTGTTTTGCATGTGTGTGGATATATAGATGTGGACGTGTGAAAGAGAGGGGAGAGTGTGAGACTGATGGTGTGAGAACGAATGTGTGCGCGAGTGGAGGCGTGTGCGTACACACGCCCGTGTGCTTGTTTTGCGTTCACATATGTGTGTACTGTATATGTGTGTGTCTGCAGTTACCAGATAAATCCCGAAACCTAAGACAAGTGCAATCAATTTGTCCTTGGTTTGAGCATTGTACTAACCCTCCCCCCAACCTGAAGTTTCAGAACCAAACCCAGGATCCATTCTCTTACCCCCATCAAAGATAAAGAAAATATGCCTGGGCCATATTTTCTTTACCTGTCCTGTGAATCCTATGGCAAAAATTCCATTAACAAAATCCAAACACTGTCTGGTCCAAAATAATCGCTTCACGGTACTAAAAGATTCTTTAAAAAAAGGTTAAATGAGAGACCAACCTACAGTGTGGAGCCTAAAGAAAAGTTTCAAATGCAGACCAAGGAAGGAAGTGTGTTTCATACACAGCATGCAATCTAATACCAGAGTGTAATGGCTGGGCTTTGGCTATGTGTTACCCCTCAACAGGTGACTATCTCTGTGGATGGAATCCTCACCACCACTGGCTACACCCAGGAGGACTACACCATGCTGGGCTCCGATGATTTCTTCTACGTGGGTGGGAGCCCCAGCACGGCGGACCTGCCTGGATCTCCAGTTAGCAACAATTTCATGGGCTGCCTCAGAGAGGTAGGAGGGACCGAATACAAATGAATACAGACAGAGAGCAGGCGCACCACAATGTGTGTTGTTCATTCCCAATACTGTATCTTCATTTGCATCAAGTTTCAATTTCTGTTGTGGGACTAGTTGTCATACACACAACTGCTTTATTAGTAATTATTCAGCCAGAGCAGCTGTTTTTAGATTAGGTGAAAAATAATAATCAGCACACCTTCCCCAGGAAGGAGAGGGAAAGGGGGCAGAAAATAAAATTGCATTAATTAAAGCTGCTGAGCTGGCAGAGGAAGTATCAGACTTTCAATATTCCTTTGCTTGATTTAATTCGTAACACTTACTCCAGTTTGTGTGAGAAAAGATCCCAAAATTGCTTCTGTCACATGTAATTTGCAGCTTCAGCAGGAGAATGCCGCTATAACGCCTCTCAATGGGCAGTAATCTGAGAGAAATATTTGCCTGTGATGAAATGGCAAAAAGCGCTGTTGTTTCGGGATGTTTATAATGCATCAGCTGGCTCTTTGAGCTCGTGAGTAAAGCCCAAAAAATATATTAAGTTCCCTGTTATTTACATTTTGCTAACCATCACTTATTCTGCAGTAAGTAATGATACTAAAGGGAAGAGCCATGGCTCTTCAGAGCAGTAAAAAAGATACAAGTCTGAATCAATGTTTTTAGTTAAGCAGCAGTCTAAGAAATTACGTTGTTGCACAGAGACTACAGTGTGAAACACAGCTTTTATTTTAAACTTTACAATAGATTCACATTATCTGGGAATTTATCTGATCATACTTGTGGTCCTATGTATCTGGCTACACCTGCTCTTAGACAGCTCAGACAAAAAAGAAAGTCTGTTCCCATAAAATGACAGGACTAGTCGACCTTAGACGATTGCAGTGCCGCTGCAAAATTGGTGCCATGGGTTGCTGTTGTGGCAGATCCAGTTATCTTTAGTGAAAGGACGAAGCAGTTCTTCTGCTCTAACAGAGAGGGATCTCACATTGGGCCAGGATAAACAGCCCTGGCAACCCTAGCCAGCAAACACAGGCAAGCAGACCTGGCAGTGGCTGCTGCAGCTCTGCAAGCTGAAAATATGAATTGGAGTTAACAGCAGCCATGATATGTTGTCACAACAGTTATAGCATACTGCTGTCCATGCAGCTCCTTACTCAACAACAGACATCATATAAAGTAATCAAATTTGATGCTGTGATGATTGAAAGATCCTCCATGTTTTTCACACACGTTTCTAGCTTGAATCATATGTTTGGTTAAGTTCATTAGGATCCTCTGAAGGGTTAGAAGATCAGAAATAAGCCGTTTTCATGACCTCCTGGTTAAATCCGCAGAATTGGCTACGGAGTTGTGCATGAGTGAGAGGCAGACTACGGGTAAACATTACATACCCGTAGTCAATTCTTTGGATTTTACCTATAGTTCATGTCTGAAAACGGCTTCACTGAAAGCATGTTTTCCGTGTGTTAAAATGTTTTCGGCGAGCTGAGACTGATGAAAAAAACATACAAAATACATTTCCAATAATGCATTTCACCTTCCCCTGCTGACTTTTAGCTAATTCCAATGTGTTTCATCAACGTGTCTTAAAAATGAGATCTTCAAAGCGTGCAGACGTTGCACCCTGCCTTGAAGGTAGATTCATATATAAATGATTCTACAATCAAAACAAGTTTGTATACTAGGAAAGTTTATTTCAACCCCAGTGAAGGAATTCATATTTTATTTTTGTGTTACTTTAAAAGCCTCATAATATTTTGAGTACATCATAACTGTGCCATCTCTTCTAAGGCTGGCCACACTCCACCCTCTCATCCTGTGTGTTTTTAACTTCCATCACAACCCTCTCACTTTTGACAAGAGCCAGTAATGTGTAGTGATACGCTGCCAACCTCAGTCCAGCACCTTGCAACACTCCCTCCACTTAGCTAAGCTAGCTTCCATCAAACTACAAAATGCTCTTTCTTCATCCTGTTTTCAGACTGCTGTGCTCACACACACACACACACACACACACACACACACACACACACACACACACACACACAGACACACACGTGGTCGAGCACATTTGGGCAATGGCTTGGAGAAAGTCACCTTGTCTGCATTGTTTTATGTTTCGGCTGAGTGGCTCAGGATCTTGTTCCTCCGTCATTACCACATTGGCTAATGCATTCCTCCTTCATCCACCCTCAACGACACTATGTCTCTCTCACACACACAGACTCAATTGTTATATAGAGATGTACATTTTTAACACTGACCCAGTCATTCCAGTGCTTTTACATCTGTGAGTAAATGTGAGCTGTGATTTCACATGTGATTGTTATGGGCCATGGCTCAGGAGGTAGGGCAGGGTCATCTGTGGTTCCTCCAGTCTGCATGTGTGTGAAGGGGTGAATGGGACTTGTAGTGTAAAGTGCTTATAGTGGTTGTTAAAACTAGACAAACGAGATGTATGAATGCAGCCTATTTAACAGCCTGTGTTCTGCTTTAGGTATATTGTCTCATTTAGGTGGTTTACACTTCAGCACAAATAATGCACAAGGAGATGCTCCTTTTGAAAGAAGGATAAGAACCATCTCCACACCTTGTATGTATCATCAAAGTCTTATGGTTGAACAAATGCATTAATAGTCCTCCTGGCATTTAGCAAAGGGGCTCTAAATATAGATATATAGATATATATATAATAGCACACTCTCTGTGATAAAAATGGTCCTTTTTCCTGGTATTGTATTTCATGCTTTTTGTGTATTTAGGATTGTGCTTTTTGGATACAGCAGGATTTGTTGTTTTGCACTTCTTGACAGCCGTGGTAGTGAGTCCAAGGCAAAGCATGAAACATAAATGAGCAGTTGGGTCAGTTCAGTGCGTCACCCTGCCAAGTGTATATAGATTTATATGCACTCAAACACTGCTAACACAGCTGCAGCAGCAGAGTAGCAAGGCATCTCACCATTGTTACTTCACCTGAACCCTGGTTGTCAGGGAAACGTTCCTGCATCCACCAAGTGTGGTGGAGACTTTTCTGTTGTTAAAAGCTTTTCCCTCAAGCCAGTAGTGGTATTATCATTTATTTTAATATTGAATAATTAATCTATGAAAGCAGAATTACTTTACTATATATGTTTTGCCTAATTGTTTATACTTGATTCTCCTTCTTTGTCAATATACCAAGCTATGGGTGAAGTGTTGAACATAAATATATCTTCTATTCCATATAACAAACAAATTTGATTGAGAGACCCCTATAGCTGAAGTTCTATATTGTAAGTTTAATGAAAGCGTGCTAAACTCGTCTATAGAGCCAGTTCTTTATAACCTAAACCAAACCTCCATGCTCCAGTTGCACAGTAGTAAGAAAAATTAAATATATAAAAATAAGGACTTCCATTAACACCTTGTCGTAGTCCTCACACTAAAGATTAAGCATTAAAGGTTATTTTTTCCTGTTGTATCTATCTTACATTTAATTTATTGATTATATAGAGTCCAGTTATAAAGAGGCAAGTGCATCTATGCAGACTGCATTTTTCATCAAGGGCCGTGATGCTGTCGTATTTCTGTGTTTCCATTATTATCCAAATGAGCGTGACTCAGCATGAGTTGGGCCTTGTGAGAGTGCACTGGCTTGATAGAATCTTGGAGGTGATTCACCATGTGCTTTGGGTAGTGCTAGTATTGTGCTGTCCTCCGTGACGCCATCTGCTACCCAGTACCTTGGAAACCACTGGCCTCTTCAATCATAATATCTCTTTGATCAATCCATTAAGTGCAAATTGTGTCTTTCTATGGAGTGCACTTGTGTATGTGCCTGCAAGCTCTAATCTACATATACATTGGTTGCTCTCCTGCAACACATTTATTCTTTCATGCCCCCTCCACCTCTCTCTTTGGATTCAATATCACCAGGTAATGAGGGAATGATTCAGTTGAGCTTGGCCCATTGCTTGGATCAGAGTGCGTCAGTAGTTCTATTTGACTGTGTGTTTATGTCTGGCTTAGGCGCTTCAAACGTTACGGAAGCTGAAACGTTGACGCATGTTGGTTTTGTATGAGATAAAAAAAAAAAAGTTGAATAAGCTGATGGATATTTATCTACAGTGAGAGAATACCTCCCTTTCTTGACAACAAAAGAGTTGCAGTGCGCTGCCATCACGGCCCTTCTCTCATTCAGTCTTCACTGCACTCTCTGCCCCTTTAGGCTACATGGGATGTCATCCATGCTCAACACACACGTCCCGCCCACGCTCGTGTTTAGCCATGTGGACTGGAGTGTGTTACAAAACCGCATGAGCCAGTCAGCAGCCGCCTGGCTCGCTCTCCGGTCAGCCCTGATTTCTGCAGGGCCGTGCAGCCAGTGCCCCCTCCATCACCGGGTCTCACGACTCGCAGCTCCTCCTTCTAGCATCACAGGGCACTCGTGGCAGCGCTGGAGCTGTGTTGTGGCAACTCGTGTCAGACTTTGGGGGAGGCAGGGGCACGCGCCGTCATCTCTGCCGGGAGAGGAGGGGCTGCATGCAGGAGGTGGAGGAATGGGGGAGATGATGATGAGTAACAAGCATGGAAGCAAGCAGGGGAGGATGGAAGGTGTGAGTGAAGTGGGGAGTGACGGAGCAGAGAAGACGAGTGCAGGTGAAGTGAGAGTCAGTGGGTGAGGGACAGAAACGGAGAAACACTGATATAGAAGCAGATAAAGGGAACGATGAGTAAGTGAGAAGATGCAGAGAGAGGACAAGAGACCCATCTCTGGCATTTGAGAGGAACATTGTCGTCATCAATTTTGTGTTAGTCACCACAGTATATTCAGACAGCGCTTGTTTTCCCCTCCAATACAAACCCAAATGTCACCCTGTCCTTTTAATTATCTTACTGTTTTTTTAATGTCCCCTTAGAGGACTGAACAGTGATGGATGACTTTAAACCTGAGTTTTTAATGGAAGGTCATCACCTTTCACCCCTTCGGCTAAACTGTGACACAGGTAAACACAGGATTTTGCTCTAGGTAACACCCAATGCATACTTTGCTATCCCAAATTCAAAACTGTGCATGATGTGACAGTACAAAAATAAATTTGCTTAAAGGTATTTTAAAATTTTATAGTCGCCATCCCAGGGAGCACAAATACACCTGTACCTGGAGATTAATTTTGTTTTTACTGATGACAAAATATATATTTTTATAATAATACTCACTTTTCAGCTCTTCTGAAAGTTTCTATTAAAGTTTTAATCATAGAAAACTAGTTTTGTTTTTAATGGATACCAAATCTATTTCAAAATATACTCATAAAGTACATAATAAGACAAAGAAAACATACAAAGCCTGAAGTCTACAAGGCACTTTAACACCTGAGCAGTGTTCCCACTCTGGATTATCTCTCAAGGTCTTCTTTTAAAATTGACGGTCTAAGATCAAACAAACACTGTTTCTTCTCTTATGTTTTAATCAGTTGGAAGATAAAAGACTACCCAACCAAATGAAAGCTGCGCACGGAAACAGTAGTAGTTGCCTGTGAATGCTCTAGAAGTGATGAAAATAAATCAATGACATGTCTTGCTGCTACTGAAAACCTTGCCATCTTCATCAGTTTAGAATCCTTCTTGTTGGCCCACTGCATTTTAGACAGGACCTACAATAGATTCATATTGATTCTAAGTTTTGATGCAAACTATGACACTGCCTTTTATGTTTTGGATTTCTTGTTTGAGCAATGGCTCAGGACGGTTGTTGTTGGTGATGTTGTAACCGTACGATGTGTTGTGGTACACTGACGATAACTGCACATGCATGTGTTTGATAATATGAAATGGGTGCATGGTTTAAGACCTATAGGAAATAGCCAACATTAACATAAAGAGCTCTCTTAGAGAAGAAAGTAAGTAGAAAGTAATGCTAATGTTAAGTCTTAATCGTGCTTGTGTTTACGTCACATATGCCTGCTGCACACTGGAGGTTAATCCGGTCGATTTTAGTTCCGATTCAGCTGATCCAGACGATGGTGGACAGATATTGTTATAATATTTACTTAATATTGATCTGCCCGCATGAAGTCAAGTGTGTATTGTATATTGTATGTATTGTATCTATTTTTCTGTCTGTGCAGTCTGAATGTATTTGCATTTCTCTGTGCATGTGTGTGTTTGAACAGAAATCTCCTCTGCAAAGCTTCATGAGCTGTGTGTGTGTGTGTGTGTGTGTGTGTGTGTGTGTGTGTGTGTTCACTCCACTTCAGTGGAATTACCCTGCTTCTTCATTAACACTGGGGCTAAATCAGCAGCTGACAGCAGCTGGGGCCAAGAGGACATGAGCACTGATCTGAAGTAGATTAGGGAGGAGATTGTGCTTGTGTGTGTGCGTGCATGCACACTCTGTACATCTACCCACCTGCCCTTTCCCCGCCCCGCTCCATGTAGCCTTACCACAGCTCGATCAATACCCCATCCTGGAGCAGAGATGAAAGATTTTGGCTTTATGGAGTCGTTACAGTCCCTTGTGCATGCACTATGAATGGGCCCCATAAGGCCGTTGATAGACTGAGGGATGGCGTGGCAAAGCACAGCCATAACAATGGAAAGATGAGGTACACATAGCCGCAGTAGTCAGTTCCTCTTTTATAACATCATTTCGATTACCTTATTGATCAGCCTGCAGCAGAGCAGACAAAATCATAATCCCAAAACAGATCGGAGGTAGTTGATTGTAAGATTAGTACGTCCGACAATAACATTCAGTGCCTGGGAGAGTTTGTAAAGACCTTCCACTGTCAAGAAAAGTAAGATAGAGAGCGACCAAAGCTTTTCTCGAGTCAGGCACAGAAACTAGTGGTTTTCAGAGTATGAGAACAGCATGCTGTAGCTCTGATGGAGACTTTGTGTTTTAAGAAAACCACTGAGCATAATTATTCTGACCATATCTAGAAAAGTCTTATCAAATATGTTTTAAAGACAGAGACAGACTGAGTGTCTTGGAACTTGGGCAAGTTGAAGCAATTTACATCTAAGAAGTGCACAGTGGTCATCACAGCACTATTTAAAAAAGCTCTGCATTGCAAATGCAAAAGCAAAAACATTAAAGTCTCTTTTTATGTAATATTCAGTTTGTTCTCGTGCCCAGTAGTCTTAAAGCTTGCTGCAAGTGGAATGCAAGGTATTTGGCTTCAGAAGAACATATAAAAACATTGCAGTTACAGAGACTAGACAGAGTTAAAGCTGGAGGAAGTTTGAGCTAACGGGCAGCTGTAAAATTTCAGAAATACATTGACTTTGACAGTGGTTTGTGCAGATCACAGGGTCGAGCGATGTATTGAGAATTTGCATTTATGACGACTTCTATAGAGAAACATTGCAGCGGATGATGATATTGTCAAAAGGGGGAGGAGGTTGTGATAGTGATGTGATGTTTTCTTAACAGACTGAAAACCTAAAGCATCTATGGACATAAATCTCTAAAAGACAAGGAAGCGGCATCCTGTTTTACTTGATCCCCTGTGGAATGAAACACTTGTTTTATCTGAACTTCCTGAAACTGTACAGAAACTTTTTCTTTGTTAGTTGGGATCAGTGGAGGGAACGTTCTTCTTTAGCTATGCAGCATAAACACATTTGAGCTTCTCTTTTTCTTTTCACGTCCTGAAGGTAATAACGTCACTGTACCTTCAGTTTTGTCAAAATCATCCATCTTTAAAGCCACAGCTATGCAAGAATTCCCTCTCAGACAACATATATACCCATCTTTTATCTAACATATTTTTTAGATCCCCTATACAGGATAAAAATATAGTCAAAGTAATTAAAAGGTGTTTAGATAAATAATTGTTTTTTACTGAAGTTGAGTCCAGTTTTAGCCGGTGGCTCACCATCTCCTCCAGTCTGTGCTTCTATCAGCTTTTCTCAACTGTGGAAGAAAACTGAAAACAAAAGCCTTGAACCTCTGCTCCATGAAATCAATTCTATTTTCATAAATCCCTAATTATTCGTAACGCTTCGAATTGTTTTCTGACCGGCGCGCTGGCAAAGGACATGGACATGTGTTTGTGAGAAAGTCTCATGCGAGTGCCCTGGAAGAGCGCAGCGGTTTATTAAATGATGCATTTCTCGTAATTAGGATTTTAATCATATGATCATTAATTAATAATAATTACTGGGTCGAACAAATGTGCTACATTAATAATATTTCTCATCCAAAGGCTGTTTCATAATTAACATTAGATAGGGGCTCTGAGACTGAATAATATTCAAATTCAAACAAACCACCTTCATCTGTCGGAGGAGACAATTAGTCGAGAAAATAATACACAGATTTATCAATAATGGAAATGATCAGTAGTCGGAACCCCCGGCATGTACTGTCTCATGTAGCTTTCTGTTCACACACTCATGTGTTGTAGCTAATGTTGCTTTATCTTATTTTAAAAAAACAAAACAATAATTTCATTAGTATTGTGTGTTGTGTTGCCAGTAGATTAAGTGCTCGACAAGGTGTGTGGTAAGCATTTAATGTGTGTCATGTTCAGGAGATTAAGTGTGTTTGTTAATCACGTTGACGGCTTCATCGCTATGTTTGTAGTGTACACAGATGTACACACACACACACACACACACACACACACACAAACAAACACACGAGTTTCATATAAAAGCCAGTGGCACATTTAATCAACATCTCTCCCTCTTTTTCGCTCTATTTGCCTCCTGAAATATTTTCTTTCTCACGCAGTTTTCTTTCTTCTCTTCCTCTGATTCCCACCAGCTCGTCGCTCTCTCCCCAATATTTTTCCCCCCCCCCCCCCCCCTTCCCGTCAGTCCTCCTCGGCGTTCGGGTCACCTGTGTTGATTTACTGTCAAATCTTCCAGGATTATCAGTAATCCCACAGCAGCGAAATCTGTTTGCTGACAGCTGTGCTCCCTCTCACAGTGTTGCCTTTCCTGCACACACACTGCCCTATATACCATAAGAGGCCCGTCTTCCTCACCAGGAAGGAAAGGGGGGAAAAAAACAAAAAGAAAAACATTAATTTTCCACCTCAGTGGATTCCAATTGCTAATACTCTACTCTCCTTTTCTGTGGTATTTTGCTGTGTTGGACTGTAAAGTGGGACTGCTTTCTACATGGATTAGAGTGGTTGAGCTGAATTATTGTGGGTAAATAGGGATGATATTGGGACAGATTCTTCCAGGGTCACAGACACTCCTGTGGGGGTCCAGCAGCAAGCGGGGGGGGGTGCTCTCTAATAATCTCGCCATCGCTCCTCACACTTCACCCAGTCGGCAGGTGTTCAACGAAATGAAAATACAGTCATGGATTTGTGTACAGTCTCCGTTTCACTGTGGATTGATTGAAGTTGAAATAGAAAATGACTGAGAAACAAATTGGACCACACACGCCTTAAGATATTAGTTTTATTGATCCTGCCGTCCTCGAAACAGCAATGTGTAATATTACCAGAGAATGATGCTGTAATAGTATGACAGTTTTGAAATGAAGTACAATTCATTCACATAGAAATAAATATTTTTCATCCATACTGTTTGGGCAAATTATCCCAAACAGGGACATATTGTGAGCAGCCTTAAAAAAAAAAAAACTCTCAAACTCTTTACTCTTGCATGTCACGTATTTGTTGCATTTACAAGTAGCCCCTAACTTGTGTATTTTTTCCTCAGGTGGTGTATAAGAACAATGATATCCGCTTGGAACTGTCCCGCCTCGCTCGCATCGTGGACCCCAAGATGAAGCTTCAAGGCGACATCGTCTTCAAGTGCGAAAATGTCCCCACCCTCGACCCCATCAACTTCGAGACCCCGGACTCCTACCTGGCCTTGCCCAAGTGGAACACCAAACGCGTGGGCTCCATCTCTTTTGACTTTCGCACATCTGAGCCCAACGGGCTGATACTCTTCACCCACGGTAAGGCTCAGGACCGACGGGACGCCAAGGGCCAGACGAACAACAAGGTGGACTTCTTCGCGGTGGAGCTGCTGGACGGAGGGCTGTACCTCCTGCTGGATATGGGCTCTGGGACCATCAAGGTCAAGGCCACACAGGCTAAGGTCAATGACGGCGTCTGGCATCATGTGGACATCCAGAGAGATGGTCGATCAGGTAAGGATGGAGGGGAGAGGGAAGGAAGAGACAAAATGATTGTAAGCAGGGGTGGAGCTAGTGGTGGAGTCACAGGGGGTCCATCTGAAATCTGATTAGCCTCTAAAGGTCACTTACTAACAATACATGTGACATTTTTAATAATCTTTCCAAGCTTTTTTTAAGAGCTCAATGTGCTTGAAAAAGGACATTTTTCAAAATATAATCAATTTGCTCAAAACTGTAGAACAGCAAGGAACAACTTAGATGTGACTGAAACAGGAATTGTGCATGAATGTCAGAAATATAATGGGCCCCAGGTAATTGTGGCCCCCTCTGGCACAGTTTTAAGCAAATAAGTTATAAAGTTAAGTTCATTTTGAAGTAGCTGTACCTGAAACTTCACCTTTGTTTTGCAATCACAGTTACAGCTCCACGGTTGACTAATAATAGAAACATGATGTGTGTTTAACATCCCTGATCACAGCCTGTTTAAGTTGTTGAAGTACTGTGATCAGCTCTGAACTGTGGAAACTTTGGCACTGGTTCATTATGTGGATGTTTTTCATTTCTCACTCTCTTCCACACAATCACAAACAAACCGTGAATGACTTCAACCTGTGAACTGAAATCGTGGCTCAGGTAAAAAAATGTTGCCTCTGGCCGAGTATGAATTTATAGGCAGAGAGTTGACGAGGCGACTAACCAACTGCAAGAGAAGAGAGCAATCAAGTCTGGAGAAATTTAGTATTTCTGTCAGGACTTAGCTTGTGGGGACTGTGTGTTATCAGTTATCCCTTTTAAATCGGAAATCTACATTTTGGGAGTTAATTACAACAATATGCAATTGTTTTTATTATAAGAACAATGAATATAGATGATAGATTACTGACTAATAAATTGACTAATTGTTGTCAAAGATTGAACAAAAATAATCTTAATTCATCATTCCCTGTGACTTGCATGTAAGACCATATTCTTTATTATTAAGGTTATTCTACAATATTGATATTCACGATGCAAGTGATTTAAGGAAATTACACTTCAGCAATTACTCTAGTGCAGACTCCTCACAGTAGCTGCGACAATAGAACTGCAGCAGCAGAAAGAATCAAAGTTGTAATCATGTCACGGCTTATTTCCTTCCCTTTCTCCTGCTTCACATCTGCAGAATGATGTAAATCTCCTCAATATATTAATTCCAGCGATGATTTATTGCCTGGATAAAGTCCTACCTCTCTCTAGATATAACTACTGCGTCTGCTTCCCCTCGCTTTCCTCCATTTTTATGTCCTATGACCTCTAAGCATGGCCGGATACACAGAAAGCATTAGAAGAAGATTATATAAGAGAAAAAGTGTAAGAAACTTGTGTTGCCCCGAGCTCCAAAACCGTACGCAATCTCTGCATTAGGTGGGATCCTCCAGAGGACTCGGATGTGTTAGTCGGCACTACAGCCCGTGTTATATATCAGGTTAGAGCAGCCAATTTGGCCGTGTGTCAGAGCTCGCTGCTTTGATTAATCACCGGCGCAGCCCCTGGTGCGATAGCGGAGGAGAAAGTGGGATTTTCACAGGGAAAAAGAGAAACTAGACAGATATATGGATACCAGACTGAGGGATGGTTAAGAACAAGCATAATCACACTTGTGGCTTGAGTGAAATGTTAATAAGAGGTGCGAGTGAATTAAATTTCTTGTCTGCAAACAGCCAAGATCTCTCTTTGGGAATTCAGTCATTGGTGCTTGCGATGGAAAAAGTGATGTTGTCATACTTGAACTAGGTGAGGTCTGATTGAGAGGTGATGTTTTACAAGGAGAGATAATAAAAGTTAAGCTTTCTTTTTCTTATTTCTTTAATGATCTATTCAGATTTAAAAGCTCAGCTATATTCCAGGTGCAAATGGATTTGCAAAGAAAATATTTCTTTTTTTGTTTAAGTTGTCATCGTTTGATTATACCTGTTTCCATACTGTGCTCATAGATTTTAACAAAGACTTAAAGTACCTTACTCAAAGACCAGCTTGGGACTCACAGGGTTTGGAATTACTTTGTTTAAATTTGGATCCTAGTTTTTAGTCTCTTTGGGAACAGTGATGAATGTAAATATGGGAAATAAAAAATGCACAGCGCAGAAATATTGATTGAGTTCAGTTGAGATTCAACAAAATAATTTTTCTGTGATGTATTTGTACCTTTTTTGGAGTCAGCACCTTTGCTTTACAAATACATTCATTGTTGTGAAAAAGTGGTTTCTACGTATATATATCTAGATATAAATCTGTCCCAGGAAACATATTCTGTTGGCTTATTTGTCTCTTTGTGCTGGTGTCAAGTGTTCACCACGACCTTGTGGCAGTGGACTGGTTATTTTGTTGGGTGCAAACTTTTTTTTTTTTCTCTGCTACCTATTCTGATCTTTTGAGACTAAAATAGAGTTCCCCTGAAGAGAGACTTGAGAAAGTCAGTAATCGGTGCAATTTTATCTGCCAAACATTTTAAACCTCCACCTACGCAGACCTCATCTTAGCGCACACACAGGAGTCTTGAGCTATTTTTGTCCGCCTCTTTTAACAGCTTTGCTGCCGGGGCGTTTCGGCTCCATATATGTAGATCTCTGTTTTGTTAAAGAAATTACTAAAACTCTTGCTGCCACCAATAGTTTTCACGATGATGAGTAAAAACGGGGCCTTGAATTAAAGATTTTGTTTAAAAATACAATTTATAGTCAGTTTTGTGGAATTGCCAAATACTATAAATTGAAAGAAGTAAATGTGACTTGTTTTCAATGGAGTTCCTGCTACTTGAGGAACTATTTTCTGGCAGTGAGCTAAATACTCCTACACTAATAGAACATGACACTTCATTTCTAAAACTCCAACAGGAAACCAATGTCATTATCTCACTCCTGCTGTTTTTTGAACTCAGGAGTTGATGAAATGTACGCAGCATTTTCATGGTATTTAATAATGGGTTTTTCTGCCCCTCAGGCATCATCTCAGTAAACAGCCGCCGGACCCCTTTCACAGCCAGTGGAGAAAACGAGATCTTGGACCTGGAGGGGGACCTTTATCTGGGTGGTCTCCCTGACAACCGGGCTGGCTTGGTGCTCCCCACCGAGCTCTGGACCGCCATGCTCAACTACGGCTATGTGGGCTGCGTGCGGGATCTGTTCATCGACGGACGCAGCAAGGACATCAGGCAGATTGCTCAGTCCCAGAATATGACCGGCATCAAATCCTCCTGTAACAAGGTGACGGGGAAACAGTGCGACAGCAACCCCTGCAAGAACAACGGGGCTTGTAAGGAAGGGTGGAACCGCTTCGTCTGTGACTGCACCGGGAGTGGCTTCTGGGATAGTACCTGCGAGAGAGGTGAGACACCTTTACATCATTTTCCTCTTTGTGCTGATCGTGTTTACTTCTTTGTCATAGTGACACGTCTGCCAGGGTGCTATAGTCCACATGCCAAGTGTCCTCGGGCAAGATACTGAACCCCAAATTGCCCCTTCTCATAGAGAAAGTGCTGCACACAGATCCACTTTATGAATGTGTGAATGAATGTAAAACTGAACTGTAAAGAACTTTGAGTGGTCATTGAGAATAGAAAGTGTTATGTAAACACATCATTTTCTACAGAATGCCTTCTTAAGGAGGCTACAGCAACTGAACCCTTTTTACGTGTTAAAATTCAGTTTTATATATGAATATATGTGTATAATGGGTTTGTTTAAATTACAAAACTGATTTTAAGACTACTTCGGATTGGAAGCTGTGTTTCCTAAAGGTGGCAGTGATGTAGCCACCGCCTAGTGGACAGTGCTCTGTTTCAGCTGACAGGCAGAAGTGTGACTTGGGACACTTGCCTCACAATATTTATGAAAGCTTTGCTAAAAAGATTTAATGGGATTTTTCTGCCAAGTGGCTTTGGAAAGGCGACGTCTTTTTTTCTCTTGCGAAGGTCCTGGGGTGAAATTGAACTTCTCTGGTGGTGGAATGGGCTCTTCTTGTCTGGGTTTTAAGAGCTCGGACGCATTAAGTTTTTATGAGACAGCAGAGATGGGGACTCTCCGAGCTGTGGGACAGTGTATTATCTGACTGTTGTTCAGATTGTTCATGGCTCTTATTTTATTGTAATTGCAGCGTTCACAAGTGAGCTTTAAGTTGTTTTCTCAGACCTTGAGGTATGTAAAGAAATAATGAGAGTCAGGAGAGAAAGCTGCTGCATGTCTGACTATATGGGGGCGGCTACATGATAATGTGCTGTTCATGATTAAAGAAAACCAAATGAGAATAAGGATCAACATGTACTGAAGACAACCTGTTTTATGGAACTAGTGTTGTGCCTGTTCTAAACCTGCCTGTTTAGAATGGGCTGTTCTCTTGTGTGTGTTAATGCTCCGGAGCTACTTAAGAATTATTCCTTGTCATTAGTGAATCCTTCTTAAACACTTCTATAATATACTGTCATTTTTTAGTGTGTGCAGAGCTTTTTATAAACTCTATGGTGCAGAGGGAAGTTAGAAAACCTTGCGTTTGTCCTACCAGGGTTATCTGCAGGTACGTTCTTGTAGTCAATGTATTTCATGAAATGAAACAGAATTTTCTTTGTGTGTCTTGAATATAAGTTTGGTTAATTAACTTAACTGTTGTTGTTTTTTAATAAATTGCATGCTGGCTACTGCACAGGTTACTAGTTCACAACTGTTCAAAAAGATCTCTGTAATTCAGCTCAGTTTGAAGCATTTCAGCATCTTAATGAACCTTTTACTTTGTAGACAAAGTGCCAAACAGGAAGTGATTAAATGAATGTTGCTACCGTAATGAAGGTCAGTGCCTGTGATACCTGTGAATGTTGGTCGTAGGTCGATATTGTATGTGAACATGTTCCCGTTACATTGTTTATACTGTAACTTAGCAACCTCCAGTAAAAGTTTGGGAAGGAATCATCATGAGGTAGCTTTTCTCTTAAGTAGATAAAAATAAAGGACAGAAAGTAGGACATATGCACTCATGTTCAAAATATACAGTCGTAAATAATACAAAGAAAAGTTAATGTTATACTGCAATAATGCAAAGTGCATGTCGTTCTCTTCTGTGAAACTTCCACTGAGAGTTGAAGTTGGGAGCCTGAGCTGTCAGATGGAGTTAACCTCGTCTTGGCCTGACTGTTGTGTCTATTTATGTATCAATCCCATGATGTTGTATTCGCACAAAAGAGAAGAAAAAAGGCAGCTGTGAAGGCTGGAGTGCATTGGCGAGGAAACACTCAAATGCAGAGCCAGTGTGCCTTGCTGATCTTCCACCCACAGAAAGAAAACATAAAGTAACATGTCCCTCACTCTTCATACAGTCCCTGCTCACTTCTTCTTCCATCCTGTTCCGTTCCCTCCCACACAGCGCTCTCTGAATGGTCGTATCTCTGCTTTCAGTGAGTGCTTTTGCCGCTGGGTGATAACCTGTGGGACTGTAGGTCAGCCCTCCACTTCTAGAGCTCTAGAAAAAAGCTTGAGTTGATTATATACTTCGCACAATGAGACAGGAGATGTGGTTGAATTTTCTAAAGTCGGTAATTGTTAGATCTTGTTCCAGTACTCCAGTGTAGTCAATAATCAATGTCAACTAGAATGGCACTAAGTAGAGTGCATACCTCAGCTAGGGCCCAACTGTTCCTTTATGAAACCACATTAAAATTCACTTGATGGAGATTTTTATTTGAATCTGCACACCATTGCACACCTCATATCAGCCCCAAAAACATGTCTGATTTTCTTTTCATCAAGATCCCTGGATTACTCTCTGAGGATCTGGATTCTGGATTCCGGGTCCCTTCCAAAATTGAATGGGTTCTTTCATGACCTATACCACATTCTTCCACCTAGTTTGGTGGTGATCTGTCCTGTAGTGTTTCTGTAATCTAACTGACCAACATCCCAACACAGACGGACCAGGATGACAACGTATTGTAGTGGCGTCAATTTTACACTTAAAGTTCATTTTACGAGGCAGCCAGTGAAAACAGGTGAATAACATCTTGTGGCTCTGGAGGAGCTTTTCAGAGTCAGCGGAAATGCCCTGGACGATGATATGTTTTTTAACAAATAGTTGGTGGTACACAGAGTGAGAAGGCTTTACAGTTTAATACAATACATAAGTTAGTTCCCACTTGGCAACAACTGATCCACCCGTCCGTCTACTGCACTCTCGGGTCTCAGTGGCAGCTGGAGACAATCGCAACAAATTACGTCATTGATAAATTATTGATGTTAAGTTATCCCTACTAAAATAATAATAGATATGTCAGCCCCTGCTGCTTCCATTCCTGCCAAAATCTTTGTCTTTATTCCTCTTTATATAATCTGTCTCTTGTGAGTCCCCCCTCCCCACTTATGAAGTATATTTTGAATACACTGTGAAGCATTGAATCAACAACTACAGCCTGATAATTGTATATATCAAATACTCCAGTATATCACTGCAGAAATCTTTAATTTAAAAAAAAGGAATTGTTGAATTTCTTACAGTCATAGATTAAAAATGAAGTCAAACATTAATTAATTAATATATGTTGGGGCATAATATACTGTTTTGGAGAAATACCAGCATAAATGGTGATATTGTATCAACCACACATTTAACCATGGAGATTTTTGACTGCAGAGGATAATATAGACATAACAGAGAGTTATCCTTTGTGGCTTATCTTTTATCCTTCCGTCCTTCCTTCAGTCGTTCTCTTGCGTTTCCAGACACTACTGAAGGTCAGGGTCAGTGTTTGCACAATGCAGCCTTGATTTTCTTCCCTTCTTTAACTTCTCTTCCTGGGGGATCAGACATCCCTCAGAAGTGGTGTGTTGTGGGTCCGCTCTGTCGTCAGGCCCGACCCGCCCGAATCACCACAGCCAGAGCTCCTGTCAGTGCAAAAGAGTAGCAGCTTGATACCGAAGCCCTCTCAGTTTGCTGAACTGCTCACTTTCTCACGCACAGCGAGGCCAGGCCGCCCTGTGGAGGAATCTCATCTCGGGATGCTTGTGTCAGCGATCTTATTTCTTTTTCAGTCACTACCCAAAGCCTGTGACCACAGGTAAGGAGTTGGAAAGAAGACTGAGCTATAAATTGAGAGCTTTGATTTGCAGCTCCCTCTTCGGCACCGGCCACAGTGAAGACGGTAACATTCCCCCTGTGGCGTAATAAAAAGCTTGCTTTGTTCCAGCAGTCGCTTCCACTGTCTTCACGCTCTCTTGTGAATAAGAGTTCACCTATTCCTGAGCAATCCACGCTTCTTTCTGCTGTCACACTCTGATTCTGGGCTTCATCCTGACTGTTTGACCCTAAGTTGATATCTGCACATGAAAGTTTGCTGTCTGATGAAACTGGGAAGACAGCATCATCTGGAAATAGACCAAATGTCTGGATGTTGGCAAACGTCTGATCTCATTAGCTTCTACATTCTCCAGCCGCTGCGTGTTTTGCAGTTTACAGTAGAATATTTCTGAAAACATCAGCCCTCGATATTGAGAACCACTCAAATTTGAAATGTTGGATTTGAAATGGAATTGTATCAGTCGTGCTGGTAGACAAGTTTATTTTCCTTCTCCTCCCAGCTCCTGAAGCTCCCTGGTGACTAAATCAAACAGCCACTGAGATGTGTTCACACATGGCGCTTGCTATTGATATCAAGCACGCTATATGCTGCAACAGAGAATTGCTCTTGTATGATGAGACAAGTGTTGAAATGATGATGAGATCAGTGCTCTCCCGTGGCGTCTAACAAAGGTTAGACATTTACATTACAATGATTTGGCCTCTGCTGGTGACTTTCTGCTGGAATGCAAATACGCTCCTTTTGTCTGTTTCATTCAAAACAGTTTGCTGAGATCAGCCTACACCTTTTTTGTGATATTATTTAATTCAAATGGATTTCTGAGGCAGGCACAGGGAGTATTTGTCACACTGTATTAGTATTTTCATTTATAAACTCCTGAAGTCAAAGACCTCTTACATCAGCAAAAACCAAAGTCAATATGGTAAATATATGTAAGTTTCTCTTTCAATAAGTTTGACCAACTATTCTTTTGTGCAGCTACACTCCTGGTATGAACTGCTTCTAAAACTAAAACTAATACTACAGCAAAATCAGAATGCAAGTACAGTAGAAATCACTTAATCTGACTTCATTTGAATCCATTAAACTTCATTTCTTGGCTCCTCCTGACCACATTTCTCCTTGAGGGAAGCCAGGAGAAAGTTTTATTTCTTGCTCTGAAGTTTTTGTTTGTTTCTTTTCACTGTTTGTGTGCCAAAGAAATGTCTTAACTGTGGCTGTAATTTGGAGAAAATGGAAAATAATGTGGAATGTTCTGTGATGGGCAACT